AAGGACAAAAAGGACAAGGACGAAAAGGACAAGGAAGAACAGGATGAGAATGATGACAAAAATGAGATAAGTGTAGGGCCTGGTCGACCGAAGCTCACCCGGACTGGCAAGCCTGGTCGTCCCAATAAGCAGTACAACATCCTAGGTGCCTTAGTTTCAAAAGATGTCCCGATACCAGCAACATTTAAAGAGGCTATGAGCAGTCCGTATGCATCCGAATGGCGCGTTGCTATGCAAAGGGAATATGATTCTCTTCTCGCAAACCAAAAAGATGGCAGATCTACCAAGAAATCAGCGTGCGATCGGATTCAAATGGGTATTCAACGTTAAGCGCGACAAGGATGGCCGAATAGAACGCTTCAAGGCACGTCTGGTTGCAAAATGCTGCTCCCAGCAGTACGGCGTTAACTATCAAGAAACTTTATCTCCAGTGTGCAGGCTAGAGAGCGTGCGTTTTATATTGGCCTTAGCAGCAAAGCTCGGTCTGTACCTGCATCAGATGGACGGATGTACAGCGTATTTAAACAACGATCTTAGTGAGACGGTATACATGAAGCAACCGGAGGAGTACATCGATCAAAGTCGTCCTGGGAAAAGTTGGCTTCTCAACAAGGCGATATACGGATTAAAGCAGTCAGGAAGGGAATGGAATTCCATGCTTGACAGTACCCTGGTTAAGCTCGGCTTCATTGCTTGCGAGAACGAACCATGTCTTTACAAGCAGACTGGAAATGAAAACCTCTCGCTAATTCTCGTATATGTCGATGACATTCTGGAAGCCTGTCAGTCAAAAGAGGATCTAGTCAGAATCAAATCGTGTATCTCAAAGTCTTTCGAATGCGTGGACAAAGGGTCACTAAAATTTTTCCTGGGCATGGAGATTGAGCGTGAAGGAGAGCTAGGACCAATTTCCCTAGGCCATTCGCAGTATATAAAGGATCTGCTGCATGCACACGACATTGAGGATTGCAAACAGGCGGACCACTGGATGCAGGATTCCAGGTAGCATGCACTAGCAATCAGTGCAAAAAGGTTGATCCAACTCTATACCAGTCAGCAGTTGGCAAGCTAATGTGGCTTGCACTTACATCCAGGCCGGACAATTTGCATTCCGTTTCCAATGTGACGTTCGTAGAAGGGCGGAGATATGTCGTTTTTAGGCCATGTCGTTTTAAAACGTCATATCTCCGCCAAATAAATCGCGACATATTTCCGCCGACGAAATGCACTGGGCGGAGATATGACGGCGGAGATATGTCGTTATCCGAGATGTTACATTTAAATTAGATTTCCTATTTTGTAAACATGCAAGCATTAAGGAAGGGTGTATGAAATAATTGTCTTTGTAGAAGTCTGGCAATGCTGGCATGTACTATAGAGGTCTCGCTCTTACGAAGATGGAGCAACATCAATGTATGATAATTGTATTCTCCTTTTAAGTTAGTTGCAAATAAACTCTTCATGTGAACACACGCACGGCGGTTAATATTATTAGATTTGCCAGCTCAATACAGAGGTTGTGTGCCCTGCGGGTATGCTGTGCGTACCGCATGGTATCCAATATGCGGCGTTGGTAATATCGTGAATTATACCGATCGACCTGTTGGCACTGGAATAAGTTGAGATTCGAGCAGGCAGCACAGGAATCGCAACTACTGAATCCCTACGGAAAAGGTGCACAGAACTTACCATTGCAAAATGCCAAGGGAGGTGGGAACGAAGTAGCACAGGACGTTGGACGTATAAGCTTATCCCAGAACTGCAGAGATGGCTGGGACGGAAGCATGGACATGTGGACTTCTACTTAACGCAAATGTTGACAGGACTCGGATTCTTTAAATATTATCTAAATACGTTTAAGTATGAAAGTTATCCGCACTTTCCAATCTGCGAGTTGGATAACGAAGACGCAGAACACGTGTTTTTTGTCTGTCCGAGATTTGAAAATGATCGAAGTTTACCAATTTTTTTGGTTTAAACCGCCATTTTTAGGCAAATTAGGCCACTTCTAGGTGAAATATCTTAAAAACTAATTATTAAACTGTCTTCATGTTTGGTTTCCCTAATTGGTTTGTTCATTAAGTACAAATTACGTAAAAACAAATAACAGTTCGAAATTAGCATCTCATTGCTATTCGATTTTTGCTAAAGGTCTCTTTTTTCACTACTTTTCAACTTTGGATGGAGATTAGAAAAAGATATATCATCATATTGCATTAAAAAAGAAACAAAACAAAAACAGAAGTTATTATAATTTTAGTCAAAAGTTTGCAACAGCGGACAGACTGACAGACCAATGACCAATATAATCTCTATTCTAATGTCGTTAGACAGACGGACATGGCTAGATATACTAGGCTATTGATGCTGATCAAGAATATATATATTTTATGGGGTCGTCTCCTTTACGGCGTTGCACACTTCTGACTGAAAATATAATACCCTCTCCAAGGGTATTAAGGGTATAAACAAATCTAAACTATTTTAACATATCCCACACAAAGTAACAGTTCATAACAAACTTAAAATAATTCATCGGTAGCCAAAAAACAATGAACTTAAGCATTATTAAATTATTTTCCGCCTTTGATTTGATTTGTTCTTCTAGTCAACGTTCCATTTTTCACAGTCAAGATGCAGAATTCAGAGTTGCACCGAAAAAACATCACCTGACTATCGCATAAAAGAGCCCGTCAAAGTCCGTCAAAATTGGATTGCGGTAAACTGGGAAATTTTCGGAACGGCAAACCTTTACGGACCATCCGTTCAACGGATCTCTGCGGATCTCTATTAAAAATAATTTTCCAAGTTACAATTATAAAAATTATGCCCTCTGTTCATTATGGACGCGTCGCGTTTGCATCCATTTACCGTTTAACGCGCCCAAATCCCATACAAAACTTGCTGGCGAAGGACGAGAAGGGGAGGGTGGAATATTGTCGCGTTACAGGGCTGGAAAATGAAATTGGTTGTATTTTTTAGCAGTATTAACCAGGCATGAACATTTTTCTGGACCCGAAACTGATAAGAGGCTTATAAGAAGCGGGAAATATTAAAACCATTTATTGTTGATATTTTCATGAACTTTATTTCGTATAGTTTTGGTACTTGATATATCATATATGCCAAATAATCTGGCAATAGTTCAGTATTCCGAGGATGATCCAAGCGCATAAAGGGCAGTAGCAGTTCGTTTATCCGATGGAATGGCTCGGCTAGAAAGGATCGGAAGCGATACGCATCAAGTTAGCAGAACAACTTTGGAAATTGCAATTTTTTTCTTATTAACAATTTGCCGTTATTTATCCGTAAATTATTCGTGAAAGAAAAAATTTAGTTGCTCTTGTTTTAACATTTTTGTTGTTTAAATCATAGTTGTTCTGCTAACATATGTATGTACAACGCGGACGGTAGCAGAGCTCTGCTAACGTCGACGTCAAATGTGTATAATTCGTGCATGTTTTGATTATTATGGCTTGTTGTCCAACTGTGAACTGTTTTAAATGTGTATCTTTTTAGCTTAAAACTAACAAGTTTGTTTGTGTTCCGTGGTGTACAACTTATAAATGGCACAAAGTTGCAAAAAGGTAAAACGCAAAGTTATTACCAAATGTATCCTTAATATCGCAAAACTAATAATTATTGCAACTTTTTGCACGTTTCTTAAAAAAAATTACTTAAATCCAGCAACTTATAAACATAAAAAAAAGTTCTATTTAAATAAAAAACAATCTAAGTGGCTTTCATTAATCTTAAAAATTGAATTTATGGAAAGGGACAAGTCAAGTGAAAATCCTGGCTCCAAAGGGCTCAAATATAAAGAAGCTGGATCCCCATTAAAGCTAAAATTGGCATCTGCTCTTAGATAATATTTCACTTTTCTTGTACATGTCAGCAATTTTTTTTTTTGACAAATTTTAAAAATTAACGTAATTCGAAATTATTTTACCGTCTTACCAATACAAATAAAAATTACTTTAAATCCCTACCAATTAATTTGAATATGCGGCGTGGGCGGTGGATGAAAGCAATGGTCCGATTCAAAAAGCAACAAAAACCGAAATTACAGCTTTATCTTAATAGTATATATAACAAATTTCTAAATTGTATCTCTAAAACTAGAGTTTATGCCAAAAAAATAGACTTTTTTCCCATAGTGCATTCGTCCACTGGTCCTGGTCGCAGCGCAGGTGCAAAATCTGCTTTGACCATAGATGGCCATTCCATATTCAAATGAAACACGTTGACAGGCGACTGCTGGAAAAGGGCACATCTCCCTCCTTCTTGCGCACAATGTCCTTGTAGGCGTTTCAGCCCCGTCTCAGATTCTGTTCAGTGACGTGCCGCCGCAGCTACTGCTGTCGCGGGTCGTGTCAAAGAATTATTTAAATGACTGTTCAGATCTATATATATGAACGCTTTTTGCAGCAGATCCTTTTGCTTTCTGCCGTAATAAATGCTCAAGCAGCATAACGTGGGATGTTGTTATTGCTTTCATAATTGCAGCAACGTTTCCACGCTGTTCAAATTCTATTCAAATTACAATTAGCAATAACAAATTATTTAAATTCATCGTGTACTTCAGCTCGCAAATGACAATAGCAGAACAGCTGTTTTCAGACGCGTTTGCCAATGGAAATACTTCACGTCCGACTATCGCGATGCCAATCGAAAATACACAAAAATATCGAAAAAACGGCATAGTGGAAAAATGCCTTTAATTCAGAGTATGTGCTCGATGTGCTCTTTAGGAAGAGGTTATTATCGGTCATCCAGAAAATGCATTGTAACTGTTACATGGATCTCTGTGGGAAAACCCTATTAAATATTTTTTTCCAGGTACAATTATAAAAATTTTAATATTTAATTCCGAGTATGTGCTCTGTGGGAAGAGGTTATTATGGGTCATCCAGAAAATGCATTCTGGATGTTGCTCTATGAAAATCGGATATTACGAGGTGAATGAATTAGTATTCGATAGATTGATATTACTGAAATAAGTTAGGCCTGCTCTAGGACTATTAGTGTACACACTAAGCGTTGCTCTGGAAATTTTGTATAAATAACATTTGCTTACCCTGACAAAATACTGTTTATTACGTCGAACAAGCGATCTTTTAAAAATCGGAAGTACCACCAAGAACAATATCAATATAAATTATTGCTTTAAATGTACTACATTGAAAAATAAATAAAATACGTATCGGTTAAATAAAAAATTAATTTGCCTGTATGTTCGATCCTTTTGGAAAATCATACTGACAAAAGAACTGAAAATGTAATTTTTTAAAATGTTATGGAAAATTGATGTTCAAAAGTTATTCAAAAAACAATAATAAATATGCAGCGAAAAGAATTTTATTGTGCGGACTATCTACAAATGATTTATGGGCTGTGCATTATTACCTTACTCAGTTCGCAACATCATTCCGTAAACTGCGCCAAGGAAATGCCGGCTCAGATGTCTTCTCCGTCAAATGACATCGTTGCCCAGTTTAACCTGCCTTCGATAACGGCCCCATTAACAGCACCCAGCTATGGAAATCGCTCAAAAGGAAATAATATTGAAATTGGTGGAGACTCTCAATCTAAGAACTATTTTACGCATATGAGCTTTGATTTTATGCACAATGTCTTATTTGCGGGTGCAACAAATAAAATACTTAAACTGAACGAAAACCTTCGTGTGCTGTCTGAGGCCGTAACTGGACCCGTAAATGATTCACCGCAATGCCATGCCGGAGGCTGCCCGGAGGACATAGAGACATCGCTGGTCAACAATTATAATAAAATTCTCGTAGTAAGCTACGCTCAGGACGGCATTCTTATATCGTGTGGTAGCATTCGACAAGGTAATATTCGTAACACATATATAAACATAGTGAAAAACAAGAGAGAAGCGAGCAGTCGAGTACTTCGACTATTAGATACCCGTTACTCAGCTAAAAGGAATGCAAGTGAGATCGATATATGCACTCGTCAAAGCTACTAGAGCTGTTTAATTTTTTGCTCAGAACTTGTTAATGGATTGTCCGATTTGAAAAATTTCTTCTACATTTCGAGAGGTTTTAATTCAGTGATGAACTTAATTCTTGGCACACTTGGCATCTTGGACTTTAGGTTCAATTTTCCCCGACCAATATATGAATAAAAAATTAAACAAAATTTGTTTATATAAAGGCCACATTTTACTGTTTAAATAATTTGGTTTCATATTTCTATCTCTTAAGACTAATTTTTTAAAACTCAAAAACGAAAAAATTTGATTATTCTGCTCGAACAAAATTCTTGGCACACTTGTGTTGTATTTAACTATTTCGCTAAAACTTAACCGATTTGACTCATTTTTTTGCTAAATCCGCTTTGTCTCAGTTGTCTAGGTGGCATAATGCTAAATTTATATCCTTAAATCATTAAAATAACTTAATTTTAACTAAAAACGGTTATATAAAAGTATGTTAAATGCCAATACCCATATCTGTGCGAAAAATAATATTTTAGGGGCAGGATCAGGGTCAATCATATGCTAATATTAGGAAACATGTGCCCAGAAGTTGTTTTTACCATTCGGATCCTTTTACGTCGTTTTAAAGGACTCTCACTGTCCCAAAAGGCCCTGCAATGTGCTAACTACATTTTTTTGCAGCTATGCCAAATATTTTTGGCATCAAAAAATCAACTCACTTTGCGCTGTATCATTTACATAACATACTCCTATTTTTCTAGTCTATATTAGCGACATAAATTTTAAAATTTTTGAATATTAGAATTTTTTAAGATCTTTATAAGTCAAATAATCCGTTATTTAATCTAAAGCATCGCAGATAAATTGTGTTTTTTTTTTCGAAAACACGTTTTGAAAATCCGTGTTCATCGGCATTTCCAAACGACTCAACCGATCGTTTTCAAACTTGTCACATTTTTTTCTGCATTAAAAACCCCTGGAAAGATATTTTTTCCATTATTTCCATTATTTCCAAGCAAAGTCGAATTGTGTATGCGGGTATTCCACGACATTGCACAGTGGTTGACTATTTCAACTATTTCGCTACTCGATCAAACAATTTAAAAATGATATTAAATCGTATTATTGTTCGTTTTGTTTTTTTTATAATTTTTTTGGTGTGGGTGGAGTTCAGTTATCACTCACACAGTTCTAAGTTTGTAAACAAATCAACTTGTTATTATTACAAAAATTGAATTTTTGATTGCCCTCTCTTGTAAACGCAAACACTGAGAAAATCGTTCCTATGGAAGCTATAGGATATAGTGGTACGATCTGGACAATTTTTAAAACATATATTTATAATATTTATCTAGATTTTTGGTAAAAGTTTCATAGCGAAAGCACATCTAGAAGTATTTATGGCCGCGGCTCCATTCAAGCCTCACCACTGTGCATTGTTCGGCTCATTCATTAGAGGCTTAGAATGGAACAAATATATATACATTTACTATAATTTGTTTGGGTAAGATGGCTTAGAATTGAAGCGTTAAATTGAAACATAATTCAAATAACTTTAAGTGGTTAAATCAATAAGGTTCAAAGCTGTAAAAACTAAGAGCGTATTTTGCTATGAAATTAGACATTTTGGTAGGTATTTCTAAATACCAAAAAAGACCAGAAGTCTGTTTTTCACAATTTTGCTCATTAATTGCTTATTGGAGCTGACATGTCTATGTCTTGCTCGCACCTACTTAAAATCGTATATGCTGAGAAAAAATTGCCAAACGATGTTGTAAACTTTGAAAGACCGTAAAAAATTTGTAAACTGAGAAATTAAAAATTGTGCTATATAGGGGCGGGATTTTTTTTAATTCTATAGGGAAATGTAAAAACAAAATGTAAATCGGATGATTTTTGGCTCCTATGGCAGCTATATGATATAGTGATTAGAGCCCTGCATGAGTCCACTTAAATTGACAAACAAGTCAGTTTTTTAAAATAGAGTGTTATAAGTTCAAGTCCACTCACTTACAAGTTAGATTCAAGTGAGTGGTGCTGGGTCACTTGGTTCACTTGCTCACTTGTAAGGAAAAACAAGTGATACAAGTCAGAGTGAGAGTAAGTTAGAGTGATAGAATTATTAAGCAAAATAAGTGAGTGATTTTTATTTCTTTTAGGGCGAATCCCCAATAAAAAACTTTGAGCCAATTATGTAGAAAGTAAATTTACCTTGAGCATGCCAATAAAGAAATCGCGGTTTATACAAGACATTTGGGCTTCACTTTAAATGCCCCTTAAAAATTCGCGGTTCACCGAAGGACTGTTTGTATCTAATCGTAGAAATCCCTGAGGTGAAATTTATCTTTAGCCGCTCCTTAAGAACTCGCGGCAGTCGCAAAAGTCGGATATATATCATTTAACTTCTTATGCCTCAAGAACTCGCGGTCCACGGAAGACTATCTAGTTCTTACCCATCAAAGTTCTTACAAACATATATATTCCTTATTAAAGAAAACTCACTTGCGTGTTTATGTCCCGCTCAAGATTTCGCGGTCCACGAAAAAACCCTTTACCCCCAACATCCTACCGAAGTCCAAGTTCTTACAATGCCAGCAATTAACTGTTCGTTACTGTCCTCCACCAACCCGAAACTTGACCACACTGCGCTGCGCCCACGTTTATTGCGAATTTTATATTCGCAAGCATTCAATTTATTTTGGGCCTCAGTTGGACATACCAGCTTTAAAAATATGTATTTTTTAATTTATAGTTTATTTTATTTTAACAAAAATATAGCTTACGATTTCCGAGGAAGCCATTTGAAACATGAACACAGAATTTTTTTCACTTGCAAACGTTCTACTGACTTGCAAGTCATAGAGTTCACTTTAACATTTCCAAGTGAACCGAGTGGACCAAGTTAACTTGAAAGTGGACTTGTTGTTTCAAGTCATAGAGTGAAAGATCACTTTAAATTCATAGACTTGGCTTGCTTCACTTGAACTTGTTTTTTTTTAAATTAGAGTGACTCAAAATTACAAGTTAACTTATAAGTTGTCACTTAAAAATCAACTTTGGCAGGGCTCTAATAGTGATCCGATTTTTTAAATATGGCTGATTCCACGTGAAACGTGACAGGCCAATTTGGGTCAAATCTCAAAATCAATCGAAACTTTTTTTTTAAATACAGGGATGGGTTTTGATTTTTTTTTTTTAATCTCTTACGTTTATTTTTAAAAAATATGTTTGTAAATTAGCTCCGATCGTTGTCTTCACTAGTAGGTCTTGCAAATACAAAAATTTAATTTAACACTTCGTGAAGAATTGATGAAGCAACATGAGGATAATTTTTTGGATATTTTTGAGGATATTTTTTTCGGAAATGGCGTGTACAAAATTTTTTAAACTTAAATATCCCTTAAAAAATACTTAATTTTAAATTTACAATTTTTTTAAAATATTTTTCTGAAAGATATGAAGATATCCCTCAAAGTTGCATACCAAATACTAAAAAAACTCAAAGGAGTCTCACGTGATGCATAACTGAAAAATGGGAGATAATTTACATAAATATTTTTTTTAAAATAAACGGTAGGAGAAAAAAAAAACAAGAGAGAACGCTATAGTCGGGTTGGTGTCCCGACCAGGAACGGACTTAGACAATTCGCCGCCCTAGGCAGTTTTGATTTTGCCGCCCTAGACTGCAGAATAATTGTCGTTTTTTATCGTTTTGTTATTGACCTTGTGTTATACAGTTGCATGCATTTCCACATTAGGAGTTAAAGAAGAAGGTATTAGTGGTTCAGAATGTTTTTTATTAATATTATATTTTTTGTTAGTTGTAGGGAGAGGTCTGTAGGTTGGTACACCTCTTGTTTTTAATCTGCCATTTCGACATTCACTTATGAAACTTTACGCATTTGGTACTGATCGAAAGGTAAGTCTATTAGCTTAATAAAAAACAAAAAAAAATATTTTTTTTCCTTAGGGAAAACTAAACAAATATTTTTTTTGAAAAGTCCCAAAAAACGACATTTTGAAAAAGAGGTCTGTAAGTTGAGACACTTTTAAAAGTCAATAATACTCACACAAAAAGTACTCCAAACTATAAGGAACTATTTATTTATGTTAATTTAATCAATTTTAGTTCGTCCTAAATTATTTCCCATCCATTTTTTAAGAACTTTTCCCCTAATATCAAAGAAATGTACTAGGCAGAAAGCGACCTCTGTCGGCCTAAGGCCTTTTTGTTTAAAAAAAGGGTGTCTCAACTTACACGCTCAAAGTGCCTCAACTTACACAAAATAGGATGTTTCGGGAAAAAATTAATAACTTTTGTTCTGACTGTCACATTAAGCTATTTCTTTTTTTAATTAGGTAACAGTTAATATACTAATGTTTTAAATCTCTTACCAAGTTAATTTTAGGACGTTATTAATTTTAAATGCAATATTAAAAAAGTAGAGAAAAACTTTTTTGGTGAAAAATGGTACACAACTCTCACAGCTTTAATCTAGCTAGAGCCTGGCTTATAATGTTTTCCCCAAAAGTTTTGTCACTAAAAAGGACTAAAAAAAAAAAATAAAAACAATTTTTTTAGTGGATAAGTTTTGAGAAAATTGAGTGTCTCAACTTACAGACCGTCTCAACCTACAGACCTCTCCCCTACATAGTCGGGGGTGTCACAGAAAACCATTCCAACCGAATTTCTCCCGAATAGCAAATCTCGGTGACACAGACGTCATTTTTGACGGTTTCTAAATCCCCCTTATTTTGCCGGACGTTTTGATAAAATTACCCAACTTAAAAATGTTTCCCAAAAATATAACTTTATTTAAGATAACTCTAATGAATTTTATACTACGATTTTTATACCTACTTCGGTTTATATTTAAAAACATGCTT